GTTGTGATATAGCGAGTTTGAACCAATCTGGGCATGGAGGAGGGACAATGCATCAATGTATCATGTCTGGTTTGTCCGGAGACACAGTGACGAGCGTTTCTTTGTCAAATCAGCGTTGTCAAATTTTGATGACGTAACCGCACTGATTCCGGAGCCTCTGAAAGTCCGCGAATGTTATGTGATACAGCACTGGAAAGATGAGATTCTCTTCTTTATGCCAATCTTTGAATTGTATGAATCGGATCAGCGGATCAAAAGTTATTAAACATTTAAGAGCAATACTTATTTTTAGCCGCGGACGGCTGTCTCGGTCTTTAAGGGTTAAAACCGTTGATATGCAATTGTTCATGGTATGATAATCGTGCACGTTCAAATCGTGGTAAACCATCATACCGGTATATTGTTACAACCCTACCATGAACACTCTATTAATCACCGTGACTGCCCTAGCAACCACCTAACAACAAACCAAACATCCCAGATACACCCAGAACAATACACCACAATTAACCTAGCAATCACCACAATTATCCTAGCAACCACCTAACAGCAAACCAAACAATATATACACCCTGAACACTCCATTAATCAAACAAATGCCCCAGTAACCACCTAACAACAAGCCTAGATACACTCAGAACATTGTATTAATCAACCCGGCTGCCCTAGCAACCACCTAATAACAAACGAAACATCCCATATACACCCAGAACTCTGATTACCCTGACTGCCCTAACAACCACATAACAGCACTCTATTAATCACCAAGAGTGCCCTGGTAACCAACCCAAGCACCATAGCAACCACCTAGAGCACTCTATTAATCATCTCAAATGCCCCAGTAACCAACAAACAACAATCCAAACACCCTGGCAACCACTCAGAAGAACACTATATTAAACACCCCAAATGCCATAGTAACCAACTGACAACAATCAAAACACCCTAGCAACCAATCAGAACACTTTATTAATCACCCCAAATGCCCTAGTAACCAACTAACAACCCTAACACCATAACAACCATCTAGAATACTATTTTAATGACCCAAATTGCCCTAGTAACAACTAACAACAATCCAAACACCCTAGCAACCACTCAGAACACTATAATAATCACCCAAAATGCCTTAGTAACCCACTAACAACAATCCAAACACCATAGCAACCACTCAGAACACCATAATTATCACCCCAAATGCCCTAGTAACCAACTAACAACAATCCAAGCACCCTAGCAACCACTAATAACACTATATTAATCACCCCAAATGCCTTAGTAACCCACTAACAACAATCCAAACACCATAGCAACAACTCAGAACACCATAATTATCACCCCAAATGCCCTAGTAACCAACTAACAACAATCCAAGCACCCTAGCAACCACTCAGAACACTATATTAATCACCCCAAAAGCCTTAGTAACCCACTAACAACAATCCAAACACCATAGCAACCACTCAGAACACTATATTAATCACCACAAATGCCCTAGTAACCAACTAGCAACAATCCAAACACCCTAGCAACCACTCATTAATTACCCCAAATGCTGTAATAACCAACTTACAACAATCCAAACACCCTACCAACCACTAAGAACACTATATTAATCATTCCAAATGCCCTAGTAACCAACTAACAACATTACCAACACCCTAGTGACCACCCAGAACACTAAAATCACCACCTAGCAACAACTCTGAATGCCCTAACAACCATCTGGAAGACAACTCATGAAATCTAATTATAATCAACAGGAATACACATTTAAATCACTTTAGGTAAGACTATGCACACATGGATGAATGCAAATGCATTTATGCCCAAATGGTAAGTCATTTATGCTGAACGCCATTGAAAAACTAGTTTGATTAGAATAAAATAATCACTCGCTTATATTATTTTGGTTATGACAACAGTAACCTTCATAACTGTGCTTTAGGAATATGAATGAGCGCTAATGTATATATAACGACGCCTTTGTCAATCTTCAAGACACTATGAGTTGCCGTCATAAAACACTCAGCTGTTCTGCAGCTGTTCTTCATACTGCTTGACATCTGGCCCAAGACAAACAAGAACAAACGACTGAAAGCGGGAGAGTAAATAAATAAAGACACATTAGAGTGTTCCCTTATCTCAAGTCAAATATCTCCATGTTTGCATTCATAGTATTTTTTATCATATAATCTCCTCTGACCATCTTATATCTTTGAGATTGCATTAATGTTCTTGAAAATCCACAATGCTGTGTGCTTTTTATTTGTATTTTAAACAATACTTTTGTACATACAGTTTAAGTTAAAATAATTTGTGCTTGATTTTTTACTGATTTTTATTTTATATTTCCCAAATGATGTTTAACAGAGCAAGGCAATTTTCACAGTATGTCTGATAATATTTTTTCTTCTGGAGAAAGTCTTATTTCTTTTATTTCGGCTAGAATAAAAGCAGTTTTACATTTTTTTAAAAGCAGTTTTAAAGTCAAAATAATTAGCCCCTATTAACCTTTATACAGTTGAAACCAGAAGTTTACATACACTGTATAAAAAGGACGATAACCATTTAAAAAAAAAGTCAGATGTTAATGTGACTAAACAGTTTCTCTTTTAGGTAAGTTTGGATTATCACAGTTGTTTTTGTTCTGCTTAATTGCAGAATAATGAGAGAGAGATTTTTAGAGAAATTTTTATAACTTTTCTTGAAAGTCAAAAGTTTTTATTCAATAAGATTATTCTGCCTCTGAAAAAGCTCAGATGATGGTGTAAAGGTTTTGTACGTTTCTGATTGGCTAATTGACAACATTTGAGTTAATTAGAGGCTCAAATGTAGAACAGTATTTAAGGAAAACCTCAAACACACTGCTTCCTTGAGTGACAACATGGGAAAATCAATATATATATGTATATAATAAAGTCAAAATAAATGTAGAAATCAATACTTTATTTTTTTATTAGCGTGGTGATATATGTATATATGTGTGTGTGTATATATATATATAATATATATATATATATATATATATATATATATATATATATATATATATATATATATAAAACAGTGTCTCTTTCTGGACACTGTTAACATAGGGCTTCCTTTTTGCACAGTACAAAATTTTTCAGTTTAGATCAGTAATCACAATACCGTGATATTTTTATCATACAGTCAGAATCATATACCGGCCCATGCCTAATTTCAATACCAGATGTAACCGTGCCAAAGTGACAGTACGGGGACATGACAAAATATGCCACTGTTGATTCATATCACTCATAAAAAAAACTGTTTACACAGCTCCGAGCATCCCTGGAATTACACAGTCATCCAAACCGGACTCTTTAACCATAGTAAAATCAGTGTAAGGAATGAGCTGTCATGGTGTATTTGCTTTATACATAATATCCCACAGTGATGGCACACAACATATGGTACACATGCCAGATACAGTATATAACAAGGGCGTGAGCACTTGCGAAATGTCAAGCACACTTTGCATTTACATCTGAATGGATGCACAAGGAGAGTCTTTAAACATGGGTGGGATTGACGTCTCATCCCGTAGATAAGATACAGTAAATACACCCACGTTTGCCCCCCCGCTCTGCACATTTTGTACATTTCTCTAGACACTTGAGATGTTTACTTAGTAAGTGTACTGCGAAGTGGACATTTCACAATGATTCCAGTGCATAGGGAGTGTGTAGGCTTCATTCAAATGGGATTTTAGTATTAGACATGTGAATTTGAGTGAAGTTTATTTATAAACTAATTTCCAGAGGATCACATGCTTATGATTGCTTGCAGCCGGTCCCTCATTATCCAATTTATGATTGACCAATCAGACGATTCCTAAGCCACTATAAATACGCTAAGTTCCATATCACAGCCATCTTCGTTTTGAAGAATCCCCCCTTCCACCCCTACTCCTCCTCCTTTCCTAGATGGGTGGCACGGTGGCCCAGTGGTTAGCACTGCTGCCTCACAGCAAGAATGTCACTGGTTCTAGTCCTTACCAAGCCAGCCGATGTTTCTATGCTCACATCGGTTTTGACTGTGTTCCCCGGTTTCCTTCCACCATCCAAAAACATGCAACGTAAGTTAATTGACTAATCCAAATCAGCACCATAGACATGCTCCTAGTAAGTAGTGATCTCTTAAGAGCACTCACTATTTGCTCATGAGCTAATACAAGAGGGGAGTTCTCCAGATCTACCTGAGCTCAAACTCTCCTCTCGCTTTGCAAACGGGAGGGAGCCCCGAGCTTGAGGATCTTATGAGTTCAGGGCTCTCTCCCAGGACAGCATGCCAAACAAGCTTTATAATCAATCATCAGCTAAGTGTCAACTCTTAGAATTGTATTAATTTTAAAGGTATATTACGTCACACGTCACTCTTCTCTAGTGTTGTCTGTGGGTTATGCAAATCTGTTAATGATCATCTCACGGAAAACATGTAATTGCCAAAATAACTAGAATCCTAAATATATTTCAAGAAATGGACGACTTTAATTAAAACTTTATTTTATTAAAAAAATAAAGAGATACATGAAAACTGCAGAGCAGAGGAGAGAAGATTTCTTCAACATATTTCTAAACATAATAGTTTTAATAAATTATTTTTAATAACTGATTAATTTTCTCTTTGTCATGATGACAGTAAATAATATTTGAGTAGATATTCTTCAAGACACTTCTATACAGCTTTACTATTAAATCTTCTGACCAATCAAATGCTCGCTAGTATCTGACAAGCCCCGCCCCCTTCAAGACACTTTTTGTTTGATGCACTTGAGCTCAACCACTCCCACTAGTGCTAAAACAAAACACTATTGGCTGTTATTAAAAAGGGGAGGAGCTACTCTATTTCCCCGCCCCTCTTTATGTTTTGATTGAGATTGTCAAACATCTCATAAAAAAAATGCACATTTCAAATCACTTCATTGAACCTTTAAGAGTATCCGTTTGTGAGGGAAGGCTGGGTGAAATACTCACTCTGTTGGCTCGGTCGCCCACTGGAGCCCCCTGCTGATCCGGGCCGGCTGCCGCTCTGCTGGGGCTCGCTGTTGGAGAACTGGGGGGCCAACGGGGGCAAACGAGACCTGCCAGCACTGCCTGCGTCACTGTCAGGGGTGCGAGGAATCTTTGGCCGGCTCGCAAAGCCCACCATGTGGCCACTAGAAAGAAGAGAACGACAGTGATGCCACTAAGTTTAGGATTTGCCTTCAGCCAGAGCTGCAGTGAGTGACTAGCAAACTCATTTCAATACGTTTGCATTCGAGTTTTTCAAGTCAAGGATGCTTCACTTTTAAACAAGATACAATTTTGGGATGATTAAAGGATGTTTTCTTTTGTAAAGTTAGTAGTGATGCACAATATATTTAGGCCTGTCATGATATCTATTTTGTTGTACAATTTATTGAACCAAAATATATATTGCGATAAACAATTTTATCGACATTTTTAAGACCAGTTGTATGCCACTTATTATATAATGCCAGAATGACAATAACTATATAATAATAATAATAATAATAATAATACCAGCACAATGCAAGTACACGCTCCCAAAGAACACATATTTATTCCTAAGAATATTTAATTTAATTATAGTCATTTTAACAATTTAATAATGAGGCACAGGAATCAGCATGTGAAAACGGATATCCTAAATAAATAAATAAATAATAAATGTTAACAAAAAGCATGGTAAAAAGTAAGTTTATAATTATTATTCTGTCCAATTACTTTTGGTCCCTTAACAAGTGGGAGGCACATGTGTAAACTGTGGTAATTCCTACAGCGTTCACCTGATTTGGATGTAAATACCCTCAAATTAAAGCTGACAGCCTGCAGTTAAAGCACATCTTGTTCATTTAATTTCAAATCCATTATGTAAGTGTATAGATATATACAGTTGAAGTCAGAATTATTAGCCCCCCTGAATTATAAGACCGCTTGTTTATTTTTCCCCCCAATTTCTGTTTAACGGAGAGAAAAAATTTCAACACATTTCTGAACATAATAGTTTTAATAACTCATCTCTAATAACTGATTTATTTTCTCTTTGCCATGATGACAGTAAATAATATTAGACTAGATATCTTTCAAGACACTTCTATACAGCTTAAAGTGACATTTAAAGGCTTAACTAGGTTAATTAGGTTAACTAGGCAGGTTAGGGTAATTAGGCAAGTTATTGTATAATGATGGTTTGTTCTGTAGACTATCGAGAAAGAATATAGCTTGAAGTAATAATTTTGTCCCTAAAATGGTGTTTAAAAAATTAATAACTGCTTTTATTCTAGCCGAAATAAAACAAATAAGACTTTCTCCAGAAGAAAAAATATTATCAGACATACTGTGAAAATTTCCTTGCTCTGTTAAACATCGCTTTGGAAAAATATTTAAAAAGAAGAAAAAAAAATTGAAGGGGGCTAATACTTCTGACTTCAACTGTATATATAATTTACATTATATGCCTTTTTATGTTATTGGCTTCTATACATGAATATCAGTATCGTCCAAAATTTCGGTATCAGTACATCCCTAATTAATGCTTTTGTTAAACGTAGAGAAACGCTGTTATTAGCTTTGTAAAATTTAAATCCTTTCACTGAACATGAACAGGTTCTTTATGCAGAAATATAATATCTGCAAGCATTTTTCTCATAAACATCCTTTATGGCCGTCCAGCAATAATCCTCACAAAGACAACTACAGTACGGTGGGATACATTAAGTATTGAACACATCACAGTTTTCCATGGTAAAAATATATTTCTAAAGGACTCGTTGACATTATATTGACCCGGATTTTGGTAAACACCAAAAGGAAAGTCAGAACATTTTATTATGAGTAATAACAATGGAATTACACAAAGAGATAAGTAAATATTTTGGTAATGGCAGCTTCAAGATGCCTCTTGTATAGAGAACACTAATCTTTAGCTCTTATTTACTACTGGAGTTGGATCAGGTGATTGACTAGGCCATTCTAGCAGCTTCATTTTCTTTTCTGAAAGCAGTTGTGCTTCCTGGTCTGTGTTTTGGCTCATCGTCTTGCTGAAATGTCCACTCTGGGTTCATCTTCATCCTCCTGCTAATGTAGATGTTGGACTGAAGCAGCTGATGTTCATTTACACTGAGGAAGAGCAGAGGGTTGCTGAAGAACTACTGAGAGATTTCAGCTGCTGTCTGGGCTTTCCATGCCATCCGGCACCTCCCGTTCTTCATGTGTTTGATCATTTTTCCCTGTGGCATTTCGGTTTGGTACACATAACTTAATACTTCTTTGTATTTATGGAATAGTTTGGTTGTTACTGACATCTGGTCAAATACATCAAACGCTCCTTTAGAGATATGTTTTCTGAGAAAAATGTTGACGTTTGATACTTAATTTACCTACAGTATGTTACTGTGATGATGATATTACACAAATGCAAATTAGCGTTCTCCTCAGTTCAAGCTCATGCTGTAGATTTACCATCTGACCCATTAAATCTGCCATTTTGAGGGCTGTGATGAAGATTCTGATTGGCTGTTAGTGCTTGTATTGTTCGTTTGGTTGAAATGAAGAAAAATCAGTGCAGAAACACAATCGCTGTCAATACATCTGAACAAAACACATGTATCTTTGTCGATTGTCTGAGCTATTATTACTCTGAATGTTATGGTGGGTAAAAAGCTACAGTTACAACCTATTCACAATGGTGCAGTGAATGGGAAAAGGAAACGCAAACCCCAACGTTTTTATAATGTTGCTCCATTCACACAACACTGCAAAATATAGGACAGAGGAACTCCCATATAAGTGCATGTTTACACAGAGGAACATATGCTAAAACAACGAAGGAAATGCAAAACACAGCATAATGCAAAACCATATTTGCTTTGAATGGCTCTCGGGAAATGTTTGTATCGTTGTTTGGGTTGGGTTTTCATGTGTAAGATCCCATTAGTTGGGTCTCGATTATCAACTATGATCCTGAGCTGTTATTTTGTACTGGACTCAGGTCAAGTGATTGGCTGGGCCATTCTAGCAGCTTTATTTTCATTTCTGAGAGTCTCCTTGTCTGTGTTTTGGATTATTGTCTTGCTGAAATGTCCACTCTGGTTTCATCTTCATCCTCCTGCTAATGTGGATGTCGGACTGAAGCAGTGAATATTAATTTGCAGAGGGTTGCTGAAGAACTACTGAGAGATCCCATTTGTTGGGCGTCTCATTTCAGAAAACTAACCCTTTATTTGTAGAAGATCTACTTTGGATGAAATGAAGTGGGAGAGAGAGAGGGGGATAGGATCAGAAAAGGTCCACAGGTTGGGCTTTAAACTTGGGACATCCTATATATCGATATATACCAGCGCACTAACCACTGGGCTATCAGAACTGACAAAAGTAACCATTTAAAGAGGCTGTTTACACATGGGCATTGTCCCATCTGAAAAATCCAGCTTAAACCAGCCTAGGATATATATATATATATATATATATATATATATATATATATATATACAGTTAAAGTCAGAATTATTAGCCCTCCTGAATTATTAGACCGCTTGTTTATTTTTTCCCCAATTTCTGTTTAACGGAGAGAAGATTTCTTTCAACACATTTTTAAACATAAAAGTTTTAATAACTCATTTCTAATAATGGATTTATTTTATTTTTACCATGATGACCGTAAATCATATTTCACTAGATATGTTTCAAGACACTTCTATACAGCTTAAAGTGACATTTAAAGGCTTAACTAGGTTAATTAGGTTAACTAGAAAGGTAAGGATAATTATGCAAGCTATTGTATAACGATGGTTTGTTCTGCAGACTATCGAAAAAAAATAGCTTAATGTGGCTAATAATTTTGACCTTAAAATGGTGTTTAAAAAATTAAAAACTGCTTTTATTCTAGCCAAAATAAAACAAATAAGACTTTTTCCAAAAGACAAAATATTATCAGACATGCTGTGAAAATTTCCTTGCTCTGTTACACATCATTTGGGAAATATTTTAAAAAGAAGAAACATTTTTGAAGGGGGCTAATAATTCTGACTTCAACTGTGTATGCATATATATATATATATATATATATATATATATATATATATATATATATATATATATATATATATATATATATATATATAATATTGATCAAAATAACAAAAATGCAAATTTTCATTATTATGTGGATGATACAGTAATATACATGGCTGCATCTACACCCAATTTGGCCCAATCTGTGAAAATCTGCATTTCCCAAATCAAAACTCCCATTTTTATGCAAAATCTTCCACCGTTCTCTTCCCCAACACTCCCACCTAAACAGAGCTGGACACAACTACTTTCCTAACTTTTTCCAACCTAATGGTTTGAAACACCCTGCTGAGACAGAGGGGTTTCATGGCCCTTTAAAATGCCGTCTAAAAATACTACACTATTATATTATTTCTTTCCTTAACCCACACTAATATGACTGTAAACGCTTATGCACACATACTGTGCATGCGTACAGATGTTAGACGCTTTTGTCTGGATCATATCCGCCTGCCGTTTATTTACTTTCCATGTCTTTGAAACGTCAGAGCAACAAGTCGCACCTGTGGTCTGCTTCTGCTGCTGAAAGACAGCTCACAGTAAACATTCTGAGGTATTTGCAGAAACTGACAGCATCCATTACATCTGCTTTACAAATACACTTTAGGCCTATTAGTACCAATTAAGCATGGTGTCAACGCCACAGCCTCCCTGAGTATTGTTGCTGACCATGTCCACCCCTTTATGACCACAGTGTCTCCATCTTCTGATGGCTGCTTCCAGCAGGTTAACACGCCATGTCATACAGCATGAATCATCTCAGACTGGTGTCTCGAACATGACGATGAGTTCACTGTACTCAAATGGCCTCCACAGTCACCAGAGCTCAATCCAATAGAGCACCTTTGGGATGTGGTGGAACTGGAGATTGGCATCAAGGACGTGGAGCCAACAAATCTGCGTGATGCTATCATGTCAATATGGAGCAACATCTCTGAGCAATATTTCTAGTATCATGTTGAATCTATGGCATACAGGATTGAGGCAAAAAGGGGTCCAACCTAGTACTAGTCAGGTGTACCTAATAAAGTGGCCGGTGAGTGTAGTTCTCTTTCTACATGGCACAGGATTTGAAGATCGGACTTATACTGGAAGAATGTTAATTTCACAACACATGAAGCGCCCAGGTGTAAACAGGCCCCTAAAACAGACCGTTATTCATAGTGAAGTGCGAGTTATTGTGCATTGAGACGTCTCCAGAGTTTATATTTCAAGTCTTAAAATAATTAGATTACATTCAGATTTCAGCACTCGTTTAATTAGCCAGTTCTCCTGCTGGACGAGAGTAAAACGATAGCTTTTTTGGTGATGCACGTGTGTTCAAAGGGTCATTACATCCACAGGTCTGCGGGAGTCAGGGATTCGGGGAGGAAAGGCTCTGAATCGGCCCTTTGTTTAGCACTGTTTGATTCTCATGACAAAAAAAGTCCGTCCCGGGGCAATGCTGACTCAAGGTTCGATGGTTCGCTACGCTCCCGAATTCCTCTGGTCTCTCTCCAGCTCGCTGCCTTTAAGGGCTAGGTTACAGCCGGGGACATGCTTGATAACACCGCATCCTCTGGACCTTTACATTTTAGATGCGCCATGCCACACTGAGCATGGAATGTCGCACTTGGATCCCTAAAGCTCTTGTTAAGGTAACACTGTAGTGGAAGATCCTGAGATACTGGGGAAAGTGCTGTGAATGGGTTAGCAAACGCACCTGTACGACTGCACGCTGTTGGTGGTCTGGCCCGGCGCAGGTACATGTCTTTCCGGAGACCCCATGAGCCCAGATTCCACAGAGGAACGCCAGCAATCTGAATCCGTGGCTGATGGAGAAAGAGTAGAAGACGTCACACACAAGGCTCACACGTGGCTGACATCATTAACACACACACGCCGCGCCGAGGGGACCTGAGAGAGGCGCATTTTCACAAGGACATGCAAAGTGCTCAGGGAGAAGAGACGTGCGGTGGGGTTGCGCTATGTGTGGAAACTGAACGCCAATAGCTGCTAATAGAACAAAAGTCCGTCAAAAATAAACGAAGCAGGCACAAATCTAACACACACAATGTTTTAACTGTCATGTTATACTAATCCAGTTACCAAAGATATCAAAAGACTAAAACAGTCTTGCTTCCAAACATAACCAAAACGATTAAAGTGTGAGCAGCTCGCTCTCTGCAGCTCTCACATGGTCGCCCACTGAAGCTAAGCAGGGCTGCGCCCGGTCAGTACCTGGATGGGAGACCACATGGGAAAGCTAGGTTGCTGCCGGAAGTGGTGTTAGTGAGGCCAGCAGGGGGCGCTCAACCTGTGGTCTGTATGGGTCCTAATGCCCCAATATAGAGACAGGGACTCTATACTGCTCAGTAAGCAGTGAGACGTTGATGAGACGTTAAACCGAGGTCCTGACTCTCTGTGGTCATTAAAAATTCCAGGATGTCCTTCGAAAGAGTAGGGCTGCCTAAATAAAGAGTAGTACTGGCTAAATCTGCTCACTGGCCTCTGTCCATCATGGCCTCCTAACCATCCCCATATCATAATTGGCTTCATCACTCGGTCTATTCTCCACCAATCAGCTGGTGTTCGGTCTGGCGCAAAATGGCTGCCGTCATGTCATCCAGGTGGATGCTGCACACTGGTGATGGATGAGGAGATTCCCCCCTATGTGTAAAGCGATTTGAGTGCCCAGAAAAGCGCTATATAAATGTAAGGAATTATTATTAATTATTATTATTATTAAAGCTCCCATGAAATTAAAACTTGTTTAAATGTTAGAATCAGTCTTGCTAGTTTATAAGACATCTATAAGCTAGTGTGCTGTAAAACAGTGACCAAATTCGCGTTTAGAAGATAAAAAACTGATATAATAGGGTATATACAGAACTTCTTAATTTAAATTTTCCTTTTTTAATACCTTCAAAAACAATGTAATACCAATACCAACAAGACTTGGAGCTACAACTGTAGTGGCGCAAATAAAATATCTTACCAAATGGAATAACATGTTGCAGATAACTTTGTAGTGCCTTGTAATAGGCTACCTTTGTGGCTTTTGTCGGCTTATAAATTACACAAATATAGCACAGCACAAGATCAAATTTGGATCGGTACCAGCTGGCCGATACCCAATCCAGCAAAAATATCAAACTTCGAAATATCAATATTTAAAAATAGTCAATCCAAATATCGGGATAGGTGCACTCTTAATTTAAAGGGTCACGAAACACCAAAACACATGTGTTGAGCTGTTGACAGTCGTATATGTGTCCCACACTGCTAAAAACACTATTAGGACACCTATATTTCACTAAAAAGTGTAAATTGGTTGTTTTGCGTTATTTCAAGCAAATTCATACTTCCGGTTTGAAACTAATTTTTGAAGCTGCGTCACGGTCATGAGATAATAGCGTGTATTCCAGCGTGCAGACTGGACGTCTGTGCCAGAGTGTGTCTTATTACGTCTTACAGTGTGCTGCATTAATGCATGAGTAAGGCTTGGTTCAAACCAATCAGCGCGCTCTATTGTGCAACTTCATTAATATTCATTAGTCACAGTGTTTAGACGACAGAGACGCCACGTTGTGTTGGCAAAACAAGCGTGAAGTGTTGCTTTTATAGTTTGCTGCAGTTCAGTTTTGTTTTCATTTTCTCTCTGTGAGAGCTCAGCTGGAGTCACGTGTGGATTAACAGTGTACGCGACGCTCGACAACAATAACTAACGTGTCTAAGGAGGATTATTGTTTACCTGAGAGCTGTTCTCATCTGCAAACACTGAGATCCGGATTCGCTTGTAGTCTCCTCTTAATAAAGACGCGGCTCTAGCTGCTGTGGATTGTCCTGTCTCTACAGATTTGGTAAGTGAGCGACCAGCGCTCTTTGTTTACTCAGTTCGTATTTTATTCATATCAAACAAACTATTGCACCGAGTGTAAACAAGTTAGCACTAACAGTTACAATTAAACTATAACCTCGTGTTGGATTTTGTGACCGGAATAACACACGCGGCTTTCTGACGCTACCTGCCGTGTGCATCTAAGTTTCCGGGAAATGCTGAGTTTTTTTTTCTCTCATTCGCAGTGCGGTATCAAACATTGCATGAAAAATACACGCTTACAGCAGTTCCTTGAATCAAATATCACATTTGTCGCGAGGGGCATGAATGAATTCCCTGAATGAAAGAGCTGCTAACTGCTGTTAAAGTCCAACATTTAATAATTTGGCAAATAATTCGACTACAGATGTCCATGTAAACACAATCACATTGTCCGCTGTGGTTGTGTGTTTTGACTCTGAAATTCAGCGCGCCCAAATAGACACTCCCACACCAAGCCTCTTTTCTTCCTCCGACACTCCCCCCTAAACAGAGCTGGACACGCCCACTTTTCTGACTTTTTCCCTAAGTAGAGGTGTGAAAACACCCTGCTGAAACGAGGGGGTTTCATGACCCTTTAAACCCTGTCATCACGGTCAACTCCACTCTGCATCTCAAGTCCACCAATGTACGTTTTGAGCTACTGGACAAACTGGTTACAGTGGAAAAGCTGTCCACATGCAGGTAAGCGGTCAGCTGCTAGCGTGAAAAGGAGCTACATCATACCGCCCTGTAGCATCTCCAGAAATGTATAAAGATATTTTCCAAATGGAATAACATATTGCAGATAACATATACATTTAAGTAAAGCAAAGTTTAATCTGTCACAATGGGTCCATAGTTTTTAGTCAATGTCATATACAGTTAAATTCAGAAATATTAGCCCCCTTTTGAATTTTATTTTATTTTTTTAAATATTTCCCAAATGAGCAAGGAAATTTTCACAGCATGTCTGATAATATTTTTTCTTCTGGAGAAAGTTCTATTTGTTTTAATTCAGCTAAAATAAAAGCAGTTATTAATTTTTTAAAAGCCATTTTAAGATCAAATTTATTAATACGCTGCACAAGCAACATACTTTACAGTAGGCACACTAAAACCCAGGTTTCAGAGGGTAAAATTAGCGTGACAGTGCTATCCCGAGTGAAGCACTTCACATCTTATTTGGTCTGCCGCTGTTCTTGGATGCCATGACTCTTAGTCAAACACTGGCCCGAGGGCAATGAAAACCACATGAAAGTGATTTCATCAGTCTGTGCATTTACAACGGAAGTGAGAGCTCCAGTCTACGCCGAGAGCATCGGAAATTAAATCAACTCAAAGAAAAAAATCCATATTTATTAAAAATGGAACTGTGATCTCATCCTTGCGAAACAAAGGCAACAGAGAAAGACAGTAAAGCAGCATTATAAGATGTTTATCTTTCAGGAGGATGACATAGAGTTCATATAAAGATCAGCAGATACCCAGAGTCTGGTGGATGGACTCAGCAGTGCTGGGACGGCTGCCGGTGCGAGTCGCTGGACGGGAACTGAAGCGAGAGTCTTCGCTTCTCTGTCGGGTAACAGGGTAGACCCCTTCACCACCGGCTCTGTGAAGACAAACACACATGTACATTAAAGAAATCAAAACTAACCATATATTGATTCTGTTATAATAAAAGCAATCTTAGGTGTTTAAAGTTAATAGAAAGTCTTGTTAGAGTTTAATCTTCACTTTAGTTGGAGGATTGAGCAGAGTTTAATGTAATGCTTTGAGCGCCGCAGCTTAATAAGCAGAAATGCAGTTTGTTTCTTTGCTTAGTGAGCAATAACTGTCCTGAAATGAGTTCTGAGATCAGTCTCAATCAACTGTATGTGTAACCAGGGGCGCCTGCAGGATTTTATTCCAAGGTACGCACAAATCCAGCCCCGCCCCCTTTCCCCAATCATTTCAAGGAACACTGATGCTTACTGTCAAAGGCTACATTCTTTAAGGGCATTCGTTACGACATAACTTGTTTCCTTTGTAATTTTAATATTTCGTTGAAATCTAAATGTAATAAAAGCACATCAGCGCCAAGGAAAAATTAGATGCTCAAGTCGTAATCTTTAGTAATTATGACCTATTAAAAAAATTGCAAATATATGAAAAAAATTGTGATACAATACAATTAGTGAAGCATTAGCTAAATCCTTTCTTTCCACTGACCGAAAATCCTCCACCTGCACAGCTGAGTAGTGGACGGGCTCAAACCAAAATATAATTTATATATTTTTATTGGAAAAAATTTCTTTTTTAAATGAATTTCGCCTATAGTTTGTCTCTTGGTTTAAATAGTTTTCTTGGTCAGGTATCTTCTAGATAAAATAGAAGAACGAATAACATTTGGGGTGAAGTGCTTCAAAACAAATCTGCTATGCTTCAACAATGCAGAATCTTGAACTGAATTGTCAAATAAACTAATAATCTAGCTAGCCTAAATAAATTTAAAGTGAAATATTCAGTTTCTGAGAAGCCTATATTAAACTGTTTTCCCAGCCTGATCTCATGAGAAAACGTTAGTATTTTACGTTTTGCCAGTTTAGTGGCTAATTTGTACAAATTCGTACGAGTTCAGTCGTACGAAATGGTACGATTTTAAAAAGGAGGCGTGGCACCTAACCCCACCACTAACCCCAACCGTCATTGGGGTTAGTGAGCAAATCGTACTAAATTGTACGAATTAGATCGTACGAATTCATACGAATTAGCCACTAAATGAAAAAGTTACGAATTGCCGTGAGATTGTGTTGGTTTTCCATGTTGCGCCAGTCAATTACAATTTAATTCATTTATTCATTTTCTTTTCGGCTTAGTCCCTTTATTAATCCGGGGTCACCACAGCAGAATGAACCGCCAACTTATCCAGCATATTTTACGCAGCGGATGCCCTGCAACCCATCTCTGGGGAAGGCATTGTGCCGAAATGTTCGTGTCTTTAAATCACCTGAAGAAGAAAGAATAAAAACAGTACAAAGCAATTACTTGATGAGTGCGAATCATTACCTTTTTGAATAATAGCACAAGATTGATGCACCAAAAGAAGTTTCTTAAAAAAACGCAAGAGCGCAACTTCAGCAACTTTAAACATTCATATACTCCCATACACACTCATACGATACAAACAATTTAGCCTACCCAATTCACCGGTACCGCAGGTTTTTGGACTTTGGGGGAAACCAGAGAACCCGGAGGAAACCCATGCAAACGCAGGGAGAAAATGCAAATTCAACACAGAAATGCCAACTGACCCAGCCGAGGCTCAAACCAGCGACCTTCTTGCTGTGAGGCTACAGCACTAGCTACTGCGCCATTACATCGCCCTACAATCTAATTCATTAAATAAAATAATTTGAATGAGCAGGACAGACGTTTACAAATTCGCATATTACCTCGGTGGAACAAACTTGGTTGAAAGGTGAGAAAACTTAGAAACTCGTTGTGAGAATGAGGATTGTCTGCTTATTTATGCCAGTTTGTCAGATAAAACTGTTTAAATCATCTTTAATGGGAGCCGTTCCATGCGAGAAGGCTGGATCTGATCTGTCTGATGAAAGAGACAGTTTCCCCAGAGACTGGTGGATCAATTATTGTCTCATTAGTTTTAGGCCTTTTGACAAATGTCTCAATTAAGTGTATCTGTTTTAAAGAGCGTTACTCATTTTGAACCTTTTACGCTTTAAACAACAGCTATCTGAATGGTAATTTTTCAGTGTGGAAAAACCACAAGCAGAACTAAAGCCAATAGGTTTCTTTACTCATCTCCCACTATGCAAATACATACACGCTTTAAAACACACAAACGCACACCTTCATTTGTTCATTCTTTCTTGCTTTGTCAATATATTGTAGTGTATGCTGTTTAATAATCAATTTAAATGATGTAATAAAATAAAATAATTAATTAACAAATAAAAAACTGCATTGATTCGTGCTCTCTCATGGTAGGTTCAATTGCATTTCATTGTGTAAATATACAGTATATATATATATATATATATATATATATATATATATATATATATATATATATATATATATATATATATATATATATATATATCCTTATTTGGAAACATACACCAACACGGGAATAACATGCAAACTCCACACAGAAATACCAGCTGGCCCAGCTGAGACTTGAACCAGCGAACTTCTTGCTGTGAGGTGACAGTGCTATCCACTAAGCCACCGTGACATATTTTTTCCACTTTCATAGTATTTGTTGGGTGACGTAGTGGCGCAGTAGGTATAGTGCTGTCGCCTCTGAGCAAGAAGGTTGCTGGTTTGAGTCCTATCTGGGTCAGTTGGCGTTTCTGTGTAGAGTTTGCATGTTCTCCCTGCATTCGTGTGGGTTTCCTCCAGGTGCTCCGATTTCCCCCACAGTCCAAAGAAATGCAGTATAGGTGAATTGGGTAGGCTAAATTGTCCGTAGTGTATGAATGTAAATGAGTGTGTATGGATGTTTGCCAGAGATGGGGTTGCAGCTGGAAGGGCATCCGCTGCATAAAACGTGCTGGATAAGTTGGCGGTTCATTCAGCTGTGGCGTGCCCAGATTAATAAAGGGACTAAGCCGAAAAGAAAATGAATGAATGAACAGTATTTGTTTTTCCTATGATGGACATAATTGTTTGTCTTCTTCAGTGTATCTTCTTTGGTGTTCAACAGAAGAAAGAAACTTGGAACCACTTGAAGGAGAGTAAGTAGTGAGTAAACTTTCATTCTCGGGTACTCTATCCCTTTAATGTTGTCTTCTTGTGGTTAAATAAATGAATAAGAAAGCTGTGCAAATATCGAGTACAGTTCCGTGTTTATTGCAACATGAGGAAACCCGGAGGCCAAACACAGATCAAAACAACTCTGCGGCTCCGAGTAATCTGTAAATGACATCGTACACGTGACCACAGATGACACCTCCTATGACATATGAGCGACGACATGTGATGATGTTTGCTTATTTTATAATTAACCATCAGCTTGGTTGGGCAGTATGGTGGCACAGTGGGTAGCGCTCTCGCCTCAGCAAGAAGGTCACCGGTTCGAGCCTCAGCTGGGTCAGCTGGCATTTCAGTGTTTGCATGTTGTCCTCGTGTTCGCGTGGGTTTCCTCCGGGTGCTCCGGTTTCCCCCACAAGTCCAAACACATGTGGTTTGGGTGAATTGGGTAAATTGTCCGTTGTATAAGTGTGTGAATGAGAGTGTATGGGTGTTTCCCAGTGATGAGTTGCAGCTGGAAGGAAAACATATACTGATAAGTTGGTAGTTCCTTCAACTGTGGCGATCCTAGATTAATAAAGGGACTAAGCCGAAAAGAAAATGAATGAATGAATCAGCCGGGTTAGCACTGTCACAGCAAGAAGGTTGCTGGTTCGAGTTCCACTCGAGTGAGTTGGCATTTCAGTGTGGAGTTTGCATGTTCTCCCCGTGTTCGTGTTGGTTTTCTCCAGGTGCTCCGGTTTCCCCCACAGTCCAAACACATGCGCTATAGGGGAATTGGGTAAACAAAATTGGCCATAGTGTGTGAGCATGTGTGTGAATGTGAAAGTGAATGGGTGTTTCCCTGTACAGGGATGTTACTGAAGGCTGAGTAAAACATTTGGCGGAATAGTATTTGGTTCATTCCGCTGTGGCAAATCCTGATAAATGAAGGACTAAGCTGAAGGAAAATGAATGAATCAGCCAATCACAATGCAGCAACCGCGTGTATTTAGACAAGCAGAGGTGGTCAAGATGATCAGCTGAAGCTCAAACTGGGCATCAGAACAGAGACGGTGATGATTTAAGAGACGTTATTACAATTCAGATTATTTTTTAGGGTTTTTTTTTTCTTAAAAAGTGACTCAAGTGGTGTCTGAAGAAGACCATTTCTAAACACATAATGCATCAAACCTTGAGGAAGAAGAAGAAGAGGTGGAAGAGCAGACTAGTGACATTCCTGTCAGATAAGAACAGCAAACTGAAGCTAATATTCAGATGAACCACTAAAACGGGTTGTTCTGCCTGTTAAAAAGCAAATAAACGCATACAGAGCATTCGGAAAGTATTGATAGCCCTTTTTCCACATTTGTTTGTTACGCTCTTATTCCAAAATAGATTAAATTCATTGATTTCCTCAACATTCTACACACAATCCCCCATAATGACAATGTGAAGAGAGAGTTTTTGAAATTGTTGCAAGTGTATTAAAAATAAAAAAGCTGAAAAATCAGATGTACATCAGTATTCACTGCCTTTGGGGTGAAGCTCTGCATTGAGCTCGGGTACATTCTGTCTCCACTGATCATTCTTGAGATGTTTCAGCAGCTTCACTGGAGTTCCCCTGTGGTCAATTCAGCTGATTAGACATGATTTGAAAAGGCATACACCTGTCTATATAACAGAGCTCAACAATAAGGACCGCCCTATGCCTAGGGCCAGACGGAATCTGCGGACGTTTTTTGCAATTTCTGCTGAGAATTTGGATGAAAATCTGCGGATTTCTGTGGAATTATTTTGGAAGAATCATAACTAAAACCTTAATATATGAAATAAAAAACAATATCTTTAACTTTTATTTAATGTTTAATATTC